TTTCAGTCGGTCATTTAATATCAATAAAACGAATATTATAACCTGTTAAATCACTCACCTAACCAAGTATCCTGAGCAAAAACTTCCACATGTTAAATTAAATCAAAATACTTGCGCAACACGAGAAAAGGGCCTATCATTGTTGATCGATTCTCTTTATCAATTTTCTCTTTCGCGAATACCCCGACCAGCGTTGCCAGATTGTTTTAAAGCTCATCGGTATCAAGGGTATTAAAAAATCGGTATTTATCGGTATTTACTATTTATTTAATTTTATATCATAGCCGTTTTTTAAAGTGACTATTTTAACGATGGTGACGACTGGGATATGAAGGGAATTGCTTTGTATGGCGGCTTTCTCAGCCTTAAAGCACTTTTTTTTTATTTAATTTTTAAAATTATCGTTGTTCTCAAGTGGTGATCAAAAACCAAAATATGGAAAACGACGTAACCATTGACAATAACGACCAACAATATTTTCCCTTGAAAAAAGCCACAACCTATGACCGAAATGTCGGGTTGATTAAAGAGCCTAATATCTATAAATTCAGGCTCTTAAGGGCAGATTACATTGTTCCGTAACATCATTCCTGAAATGCAGGAATGGAATATTTCATAATTCCTCGAAATTCCTTGAAAGTTCTTGTAATTTTCCTGAAATTATGAGCTGTTTTGGAGTTCTCTGGGCATCCTCGAAGCGCTCGAAACTTCCCTGATTATAATAAGACTACCGGCATATCTCTAATCATCTTAGAAGGTCTCTGGACATTCTTGGAGGGTATCCTAAGTACTCTCACAATTTTCTTGAATTTATTGTAACCTTCAAGATTTTTTTAATTTTTTAAAGGTATCGGCACTGCCATTAAAAAGCATAGAACTTCCCATAAAATGTTCTCACAATGATCTAATGTTCATGTAACTTCCCTTACGTTTCCTAAATTTGCATGAACATTGCTGAAGTTTTCGGAAATTGCCTGAGTTTCTCGGAGCTCCTTTATAATTTCAGCAATTTCATTGAAATTATTTTATCTGTCCTGATGTTCTCTGACTTCACTAAAGTTCCTGAAAACCATTAAGTTTCCTTAAGTTTTTTGGACTTGTGAAGTTTCCAAAATATTTATGATGTTTCCTTAAGTTCACTGGAGTTCGCTGGACTATTCTGAAATTTCCGGGTTTTTGAATTTTAAGAGAAGTTAATGAAACTTTAATTTATCGAAACTTACACAAAAGTCTGAACTTTTCTGGCGTTTCAGAACTTCTTGAATGTGTCTGCAGCTAGTGTGGATCCGCAATAAAAACCTGATAGCATCCTTGAAACTCCGGGAAAGTTAAAAAAAAACTGGCGGGAGAAGATGAAAGAATCATTCGAGCGAAGGCTGAAGAAGTTTCCAAGGTAAGATGGAAGAAAATTCCAAAGAAAGTTGGACAAAACTTCCGGAAGTTTAAAAATGAATAAAAACTTCCGGAAGTAAAATAAAGTTTAAAAAATATTTCTCGATTGCCTAGGAATTACCGGGAAGAGCCATCGACTTTTTTTTCGATTGATGGGTAGCCAAAACGGTGAGGAAATGCAAACATTAGTCGAAAGAGTATCAAGCATAAAGCACCTTAGAGATGATTGCTTAGAATTTTGAAGGCTAAAAAAATATGAGGTATTCAATAAGATACAAGTCTCTCACGAAAATTTTCTCTGAAATTCGAGCGCGGGCAGGCAATAATAATTTTGCTTATTTAAAAAAAATCGGTATAAAATTTTAAAAATCGGTATTTCGAGGAACCTTATCTGTATATCGGTATCTAGTTTGGAAATCGGTATAAATACCGATAATTCGGTATATCTGGCAACGCTGACCCCGACTGCAAATGAATTTCCTATTCAGTGTGTTGATTCAGGCGCAAGCTAAAATCATCTTCTGTGCTGCGCAGGGATGCCAGATGATTTTTTCAAAAGTCTGTCTGAGTATCAAAAACTATGTCTGTATTTGTCTGTATTCTAGAAAAATCACCGCATTGCAAACAAATAAGCATTTTCAAACTTAATAAAGTGCGTATTTGTGGTTTTTTAAATTTTTATTCTTAGTACAAAAAATACGAAGTCAAAACTTAAAAGGCATTGCTGTTTAAAATCACGAGATTGTACCGAACTATCGGAATTAAATGACAACGTAAAAAAGGAACAAAGGCATGTGGGTAAGGCTATAAAAAGGGAAAATCTATTATTTCAAATAAAAATAAATGAGAAATGATCAGAACTTACCGAACAAATTTTTTTATTTAGTCTTATCATACATGTTGCATGAAAATAGTCGAAAAACTGTTTTTTAGAATTTCAGTTATTCCTTTTTCTATTTTGATGGCTTTTCCATATTCCTTGGACGCTAATATTCCCTGCATCATAGCTGCATCCATCCTGTTACGCAGTTTAGTTTTGTTTAGAATGATCGACGAAAACATCCTTTCAACTACCGCTGAGGAGTATGGCACTGCAAGTAGAAGTTAGCACAATTCGTCTGAGATAAGGAAAAGCGATTTCGCCATTCACCCGTTTGGTGGCCAGTACCACTCCCCAAAATTCAACACCATCATCAAAATTAGCATCCATTGGCAAATCCATGTTTCTTACCTCGCGGAATTCGTCGTCTACCATTTGCATTTCGAATTCGTTGATAACATTTGGGAATATCTGCAAAACTGGGTGTGAGGGGTGTGTTTTATTTTTGAGATTTTTCGGGTCAATGCCCTGCCTCAAAAACTAGGCAATGGTTTACGAGATTCATATCATCCATATTGATACGTTTTCCGATTTGATTTACAAGCGTTATGTAGAAGTTCATCGCCATTGTTCTGAAGTGATCAACATCCTCAAGCTTGATGCTATTGGTTGACAAAACATCATCCAAATGTTTTTGTACGCCAGTACCCCTATAAACCTTTTCCACAGTAGTTTCTGGGTTGCAAAATTAACGAACCCAGGTCTTCAAGCTTCGCAATGTAGTCTGGTCTCATGAAATTATCGAGGATTTCCTTGAGCAAACGAACTAGCTCAGAATTGAGTCGACATATTTAAGGCGCTTCCGATTGGAACAAGCGGTTTAGTTTGTTAGCTTTTGGTAGAACAAATTCCAAAAACCTCAAGCAAAGCTCCATCATGGGGTTCTCCAAGATACCGCTGATTTCTTTCACCTTCTCGGCATCAAGTCCACATTCGAATTAGTATAATTTAAGAACACTCTGAGAGCTGGAAATCTTTCTAGCATCCGTTTCACCACCTGCTCTAATGACAACCAGCGTGTGGCAGCCGGGTGGAGCATTTTCAATGGTTTCAAGCCCATAATTGCTTAAAGCTGTTCAAATTTCGAAAATAATTTTGTTTATTTTATGTTAAATTTCAGGAACCAATTGGTAAAAATTTGTACAAAATTTGTATTAAGTTTCAAATATCTGTATAATGTCTGTAGTTTGTATTGGGTCTGTACGAAACTTCAAATATCTGTATAAATACAGACATATCTGTATATCTGGCACCACCGGTGCTGCGAGCTTAGCGAGAAATTCGTTTAAGTTGCCGTGGTAAACCAACGAGAAAGTTCTCGATGAAGAGAATCGATCAACGAGGATAGGCCATTTTCAAATGTTACTTGAGAATAGTCATTTACTATACACTGAAGTCTTTTTTTACACGGTTTTTTTTACGCGGTTTTTTTTACACGGTTTTTTTTACACGGTTTTCCACGATTTACACGGTACGTTTTTAACGATTTCTCGACAACGATACCACCTATCGACTTGATTCCAATCACATTATCCGTTTCAAGCTATTTTTAATCGAATGGCATACTTAAAAAAAAAATCACAATTTTTGGTATAAATACAGAAATTTTTAAAATATGTCTATATGGACCATATCATGCTTTAATTACAAATGGCATCAAAATCCGATTTTTTAAAAACATTTAAGCATGCGAAAAATCAAAATCTCGTAGGTTTTTTTTTACACGGTACGTATCCCCCGTGTAAAAAAAGACCTGAGTGTATTCACATCATGTTTGTATGTTACACTCACAACTTTTACAGCGTACGTACTACACAATTTATTTCTAAATGATATCAATCATCACACTAAATGACTATTATAAGTGAAATGTCATAACAAGATAGCTTATGTAACGTTATATCAACTAGACTGAACTTGGCATTAATTTGCACCAACTTTCCTATGATCCATTATATTTGAAACATTTTTGTGCAATTTTGAAAAATGAATCCATTCAAAATGATTTACTAAATCGGTGAATCGATTATTTTCATTCACTTAGATCGATTCTTACCTCAAGATCGCCCAATGCTTGACTTCGCTTTCAGAGCGTCACAATCAGCGATCTTAACCTTGAGTTTGCGTACATAAAGGTTTTTTTTTTGTTAAACAGCTTTAAGTAGTTGTCACATGCAGTGTTGGAAAAGTTCGCGATATTTCACGAAGTTCTCCAAGGGAAAAGTTCGCGAGTCATAGTGATTTTTTGTGAACTTTTCCATCACTGGTCACATGTAAGCGTAACCAATGTGCCTATTTATGTGTTGTTTTCACTCACTATAAACTTCAATTTACTTCATATTAGGGTCCACAACACTAACTGAACGCTTCGGCATATTGCGATGACCATAATATGAAATAATTTTGAATATTTTCTTCCGAAAAAGGTGGGTGGATAAATCAGGGTTTTCTGGTTAAGTAATTTTTACAACAGTCAAATCATAAACCATAAACTATATCTTTATTTTATCAATGAGCCACGCAAATAAAAATTCATTTACCCAGGTAGTTTGAAGACACACACATGTAAGAACATTGCAATTAAAAGTACAACTATGCAACAGTGCAAGATTATTGTTTTGGATTTCACGTTATATTGGAAGCAATTGGATTACCTTACATACATAAAATATGATGTTCTTGTTACGTGATCTAATTTGACATTATATTTCCGCACTCAGAATTATCATTTCAATTGGTTTATTCCTTTCCCGAAACCTCGCGACACCTTTCCGTAGCCGCTTCGATAGCACCACTGACGATGTAGCGAAATGCTAAAATGAACAAACTTTAGTTCTATTGTTACAAACCATCAATAAATAATTTACCATTCTTTTCCAAAAACGAAAGCCCAGTAATGGTTGACCCTCCGGGGCTTGCGACATCGTCTTTCAGCTGTGCAGGATGTGCTCCCGTTTCCAGAACCATCTTTCCGGCTCCCATAACCGTTTGGGCAGCCAACTTGTACGCCAAATCCCGGGACAGTCCCATCTTAACGGCCCCGTCGGCCATCGCTTCAATCATGGTGAAAACATACCCCGGACCACTTCCCGACAGAGCGGTGATGGGGTCGATTAATGATTCCGTTACTTCGTCGCAGGTCCCAACCGATTCTAGCAGAACTTGTGTCAACGTACAATCATCCTCGGTTGCTGCTTTACCTCGCACGAAGACCGATGCGCCACATCGAACCAACGTCGCCGTGTTTGGCATCACCCGGATGATACGAGCCGTTGGCAGCAATGACTGAAATTAAATGCGTGCTTTGATTCTTACAACCCTAATATTGTAGAGCTCACCTTTTCCAATTCCTTTAGCTTGACGCCCATCGCAACGGAAATGAACAGTTTGTCCTTACTGCACGTGTTGACTTGCTGCAGAACCGTTGGTATCACCCATGGTTTCAGTGTAATGAACACCACTTGGGATCGCTTCACCACCGGTACATTATCGAGATACGTCCCGGCACCAAGTTCTTTGAATGCTTGCAAGTTTGCCTCGTCGTTCGCACTGAAACTGGCTGCGATGTTTTCTCCCTTCACTAATCCTATAAATATAACACCGATTGAATGCATTGACCACGGTTAAGAACCGATCAATTGAGATAAAATGAAAGTATTTCATCACTATCAACCAACCTGCCGATATGAATCCTTTGGCCATGGCCTGTGCCGTTTTCCCACCGCCAAGGAAGCCCATTTTCAGCAGATTTCCGCAAACGGTTCGCATCTGGATTTATGTTTTGCAAAAAATGTTTCCGTCAAAATCACAGCTGATGCCAGAATAAACACTGATCTGTGTTCACTTGGATTCAATTCGACTGTGACGGATGCGGAGCTGCACGAGAAAACTGGCACGCGTGACAGTCACGAGGTTGATGCAACTTGTTGCTACATTGGTGTAATTCATACGGGATGTTCACAGCGCATGAGTGTTCGTTCGGCTGATGGAGTGTATCGGATGGGAGGAACAATTGAGAATACTACTTCTAGAGAGGGTCTATCCTCTCTAACTACTATCCGGGAGCGAATGCAATTTGATTTGAACGTTGGAGATTTACTAAATGGGGCCTCCCTTAGCTCAGTCGGTAAAGGCGCAGCTACAAAGCAAGACCATGCTGGAGGTGGCTGGGTTCAATTCCCGGTCCGGTCTAGGAATTTTTCGGGTTGGAAAATTTATCGACTTCCCTGGGCATAGAAGTATGATTGGACTTTTGCCACACAATTATACCAATGCAAAAATGGTACAGGCATCGAAATCTCTCAATTAATAACTGTGGAAATGCATCTAGACCACTAAGTTGAGAGCACGCAATAAGCTAATATGCGATATACAATAAGCTTGAAATGCGAAGAAGAAGAAGAATAAGATTTAGTGCATTGATTGTCAATGCTGCTGTTTGATTAAACACTAAGATTTTCATTTTTCTTCTTCTTGGCTTTCATGTCCCTACTGGAACTTAGCTGTGGTGTTAAAGAGGTGTTGTGCCAAAGTTTGAGAAATGTTGGTAAATTGTAATATTCAAAATGATAAATTATCATCAAATACATTACTCTTATTAATTACGGTTAACGACCTTACAGTCAATATTTATTGTTTTATGTGAAAGTTAGAGGATACTGCGAGGTAATCACATCTCATAGGTAAGAGACGTGTGTGTGTGTGTGTGTGTGTGTGTGTGTGTGTGTGTGTGTGTGTGTGTGTGTGTGTGTATGTATGTGTGTGTGTGTGTGTGTGTGTGTGTGTGAGGGAGAAAATTTGCAAACAAGTCTACTGGTACCCTTATTTTTTTTCGCAAAAAATTTCTACGCTAAAAACGCTCTATTTTGAGTAAAACATTATTTCTTGTAAGATTCGAGATATAAGCGTTGATATCTATCGGTGTGTAGAATTTATTGTTCCATATACAGTCATTCCAGTATTATGGGCCTAGTCTAGTAGCCTAGTCACTATTATGGGTCCGTCAGTTCTGCGTGGAAGTGGCTCATAATTGTGGCATTGTGGGTGATCCATAATACTGGGCTGACTGTATTTTAAATTTATTTATTTTTCAGTTCATGTGAAACTATCCTTACATTTAGGTTAACTTATCATAAGTATAACTTATCAAAATTAACTCATAAGAGGTAAAATTATCATTGTCGCCCTGAAATGGTCGGGTTTGGCATAATCGAAAAAGTTGAAAAAATCAATAAATTAAATTTCCCGAGAAAAATGTTTCTCGAACAAAAAACTGTTTTCCGAAAAAAAAACGTAAGCCCAAAGGTGGAAAAATAGAAATATTATTTTCATGGTGACCAGCGAGTTCCGATTATCAATTCCCCGTTTTTTCCTGGAATTTTTGAAGTTTTCCCGGTTGTACGATATATTTCAATTGTATGTATGTATGTAAGGTAGCCACCATCCCTTCGAAGATCTTGTCTTGTATGCAGCTCCACTTAAAAGCAAGATCAATTTGAGCTACCGATCTGAATTCACAATATCGCTGTATGAATGGCCAAAAACGGTGGGGTGGACCCGTAAGCAGAGGCACTTACGCAAAATCCACGGGAATTTAAGTATCTCCTTCCAACGATACGATCCAACAAATCGAATAACGCAATTCGCAATACTTATTAAGCTTCCTACAGGATGGTTTGTTAAGAAGGGCGACCATGAAACTGTTGGAGTAGAATTCACACCATCACAATCGAATCGGTAGGATAAAGAAAATGATAGTGTTTATTCCCTCCTAGACTCCGGTTGTCATACCACTCCAATCGTCCAGTTCCAGGTCAAATGATACCCTGATGCTCCCTCCCAACCCAGTATTTATTGATATATAGTAAACATATGTAATGGAGAAATGAAATATATCAGAATATTAAAATACGTAATAATGAAAATACATTTATATGGATAAAAAACTGGTATTCTGCAATGAAAATAATCATTATTTTACATATAATATGATGCAGCTCTATATCTCCTCAGCTCCCAATAAGGAAGATGTGACCCTGAAATTTCCAGTTTCAGCATATGATGCAATATCACAACTGTTGATAAAAGGAACGGATCCCATCTTATTTAAGACCTGGATGACCTGAAATGTGTGTTACCGGAATAATACTTATTTAAATGTAATATAATATTGAAAATGCGTTATAATGCCATGTAACAAGATACAATAAACACAAGATTTTTACAAAACCAATATTGTCACCTCGGGTGAGGTGACTCCATTTGATTTGTACGGAGAGTCACCTCACCCGAGGTGACAATTGTCACTTCACAGGTGACAGTGTGTCACCTCACCTCACACGCCGCGCAGAATAGGCCAAATAATGAACGATTCAGATTTCTTTTCAAGCTGGCACTATGCTTCCCTGGAGCCGCTCATAATAGCTAATATTTAGAATTAAGTATAATAAAATGTAATTTATAATAATATTAAATGATTTAAAGTCAATAATGAAAGATATGTAGTACTATAAACACTATACATATAAGATAACCAATAGCTAGCTTAGCTTAGATTGACTGCACATATCAATGGTTGCTACTCCGTGATTGATCAGAATCAGTGAAATTGTACAATGAATCAATTGAATGGGGCTGGGAGTGACCGTCCATTCTCATTGTACAAGTTTCAGTGATTCTATATTTTGTAGATCAATAACGGCGCCGGCCACGTCCTTGCAATCAGGTGGTAGTAGGGAAGGAATATTAGAGTGACCTTTGTTGTTTGTGGGCCGTGTTTACCTCTGCACCCCAACAAAAGGCACAGGAAAGGGGATTTTGTTAGTAAGTTGGGTTCGTTGGATCAGGATTCACCTTGATAAGTGATGCGACCATGGTTTTAAATGAATCAGTGTTATCATGCATTATACTTGGATTTGCCCGAAGCCAAAACCAAATGGTGTATCATTGGGTCTTATTACGGGTGTCACTACACGCTACAAGCAAGTGATACTCATAATAAGAGCCGTGATTACCGTACAAATCAAATGGGAATCACTTCACCGTGACGACAAGTGAAAACTTTTCACCGTGATGTGACATCCGTAATAAGCCCCATTATAATATAAATCTGAAGACGTTCCATCATCGAAATGCTGAAAATAAACTTAGAGCATGAGCAAAATTGATCGCCCCCGACTGCCAACACCAAAGAGCTGAAAACCAATTCAAAAAAATCGAATCAACAGACAAAACCAGGGTGAAAGGTGTAAGAGTGAATCATTACAGTATAAATCTAATGATGTTCCGTCATCAAAGAGCTGGAAGAAAACTCAAATAATTTAAATCAATAGATCCAGTCTGAATGAAGGCTGCAAAAAGAGAATAATTATACAGCAATGACCCCATTTTGTCAGCTAGCAAAGTATGTGTATCTTAAACATTCATCTTGAAAGAGGAAGGTATGAAATTACAATTATGTGGAATTATTGAAAAATTACAGTCCGATGCGCGAAGAGGTTGACAGGATCGGGTCATAACTGTAATGTGAATATTAGGAAGATTTATAATCATCAAATTGAATTAACCTGGAAGAATGCTTGTGAATAATTGTTATACAGAAAAATTAAATTGATAAACTAAATGGTTCAAACAACAACTCCAGCCTGTAGAAAAGCTGAAAATAGGGAATCTTTACAATGTGGATTCCCCACGGTCTTCTACTCAGTAAGCAAAAGCGGCAGCCACCAGGCTAGTCGAGCTGCTCATTTTAAATATTGGGACCTTATTTTGTGAAGTTCTTAAGAATACCGATTGAAACACAATGTAAACAAATAAAAGTTAAGAGTTTCATCCGAATCAAATGATTCCAAACGATACGCATTCATAGAAATTAAGTTTAAATAGACAAAAGTAGGAAAAGGAACAATCTCACCAAATCAGTCCAACTGAATCCCTTGCAAGCAGCTATGTCACGCTTGGTGTAGTAGCTCCGGTCATAGACCCGCCCTACGGGGATCAATCCTCTGGTTGAATGTAGTCGATTGCTCCATGACGCGAACACGAAGCGACCGCTCACGAAATCATACAACGCGTAAACAAGCTGAAATCAAAAACTATCACTTGCGACGCCACAAATTTCTATACCGGGAGCACAAGCGAAGAAAAAAACAAACAACGCAGATAGCGACATCTAGCAATCTCTGTGAATGTGGACAAGGTTACCAGGACGCTGATCACATCCTTTGGTCTTGTGCGGAGTATCGTGGAGTCAGATCACTTTTTTATGATTCCCTTCGGGCTCGAGGTAGACAACCTAATGTTCCAGTTCGGGATATTTTGGCTAGACGCGATCTGGAGTTTATGAAACTCATATATGTTTACTTTAAGAATATTAACCTTAGATTGTAAGTTTGATCAACCTTGTGTTTAGTTTGTATTTTGTACGTGTGGGATTTTTTTTTCAATGTTTGTTTTCAAGATGAATAGAAATAATTTCATGCTTTAGGATTAATTAAATAGTTGTATCGTAAACCACATTTCTTCCCTTTTCCCATCCAAAAAATTATAAATCTCCACTAACCTCGAGACAACCGCGAGTACTCGGTCCAGTTCCTTTAACTTTAAATTTAAGACAGTAATAATGTATAACGCAAAGGATAACTCGGCTCTGTAAAGTTTATTCGATTGAGCCCGTACACATAAATTAATTATAAAAAAGAGATAGCGACATCTCTTCTGATGCCTGCAAACATGATGCATCACGTTTTCTTTTTCGATTCCAAAACTTCTCGGAAAGCGAGAAAACCACCAATCACACACGTAGGGT